CCAATCAAGTTAGGATTGAGCATCTGGTTAAATTGGAAAATACAGAGAACTAGGAATAGAATGTAATCTTAGGTCACGTATGTACTGTGTGTGTTTTCTAAAAGATAGAAGTAATTTGGGAATTATCTATGACATAACGTACAATTGTATTTGTTCTTTACATATCAACAAGTGAAAACCAGTTTTCAGGTGATAAGCAATGCTGTGGTTTTGTGGTTGTTGTTCTGCGTTCATTACAGATCCATAAAAGGAGAAACATTAAAGACACAAGCCTTACGCGCAGCAAGAGACGATGGGCTCCTATACCATGTTCCCTAATGGAAAACTCACTAGGCCCTTTCCCACAACACATCCAACAGGTAAATACAATCTATTTTCTTTTTATGTGATAGAATGCTTTGTTGGTAAAATGATTCATTTGAATTGTTCAACATATCTCCTCGGAACTTGACCCATAAAAACATTCTTATTCATTAATCTAGAATCACAAAGAAGTGAGGCACTGTATTTTATCACTTTCTTCCATAACTCATTTTAGAAATGGGTTTTCTACTTTGTCTCTTGTCATACCCTTGGTTTTGCCACCAAATTCTTCTGTTCTTTTCAATTTTAGTACCAGTGTTTACAGGGAAAATGTAAATATTTTGCATAGGCCAATTCTTGCCTAAATTAGTATTTGTTCTCTCCAAATAGGATTATTATCTGTATTTATCAAGCCAAGTGGCATCACAGCCACAAGCTAGATTATAAGCATGAGCCAGCGAGAAATTCACACATACTTGAAGAATTCATTGTGAGAAGGCAATGTTGTTAGCCCTAAAGTTCCTTGACATCCTGCAGTTTTCTATGCCAAGTGGTTCAAAATCACTGAAAGAATAAGTAAACATTTTAAATGTTAATTTAATTCCACAATTATAGAGCTGTTTGTTTTTAGATGCCATGGAGTTGGGTAGGACCCATAGTGACTGATCTGAACTCTGTTCTATTCTGCGCCATCCTCATACTTCCTAACACACTAGAGCCCTTTGCAGCAGACACCGTATCAATCCACCTGGTTAAGGGTTTTCCTTTCCTTTGCTGACCCTTCACGTTTCCAAGCATGTTGTCCCTCTCCAAGGAATAGCTTCTCCTAGTAATTTACTTGAAGTATGTGAGACAAAGCTTTATCATCTTTGTCTCCAAGGGGCACACTCTGACTGCACTATCTCCAAGACATATTATACAGACAATTAAAAAAACACAACACAACAACACACCAATTTGTGACCAAATAAAATAGTTTGTGACTTTGCCCATTGCAGAATGCAATGAGATGATGTGCAAATAAGCAGAGAAGAAAGTGTAGGTAAATTTAGAAGAAATAAAATGGCTTTTTAAAAATTTAAGTATTAAAAAGAAATAAACAGAAAAAAATTTAAGTATTAAAATATTTATCATGACATATGTGTCATAATATTGAATTGACACTTATTGTTGTTGTAGATCCAGTCAGACTCAGCACAGAATTACACCATCTTTTACTCCATAAGTGGACCTGGAGTAGACAAAGAGCCCTTCAATTTGTTCTACATAGATAGAGACACGGGGGACATGTATTGTACACGAAGCATAGATCGTGAGGAGTATCAACAGTTTGCGGTAAGATCATTGAATTATTTACTTAAAATCTTGTTTCATTTTTTTAAGGATGCTTGTTTTGCATAATGGGATAATATTACCACCTGAATTTCAATTCGGTTTGTGTTTCATTACTGGAGTATGACAGTGGATATTACAAGTGGAAAAAAGAAGGAACTTAATAAAGACAATTTCAAAGAGACTTAAAGAATTACAAAATGTTAAATAACTAATTATGAGACATAGAATCCTGGTGAAATTACAGATAATTTTATTGAGTCTCAATGTATCTACCGTAATATAGATGTCTATTTTCAAGTCTTATATGCCCTATAAGTCACATGAGAACTTCAGAAAAATGCTGATACCTGGGACCATGCTCAGTATTGTGCTTTAATTGTTCTAGGATAAATCGAAGACAATATATGTATTTTTTAATTTTCCAAGGTAATTCTAAGTCACTAGCAGAATGGAGATCCACTGTGTTAAGCCCTTGGACAACAAATGTGTTATCACAGGCTGCAGGCTTTTCTTTCCTTCTCTAGGGCTAAGTAGCAATAAGGTCCTTGGGCATGCTACTGCTTTGGTAATCCAGAATAGTTGTTATTGTCATTAAATGCTGTGAGTCAAGACTCATCATGACCCTGTGAACAATGAGCCTGAATCTTGGCCTATCCTGTGGCATCCTCATCATCTCTGACATGCATGAACCCATTGCCGCTGTGTCAATCTATCTCTTTAAGGATCTTCCTCTCTTTTGCTGACCCTTCATTTTTCCAAGCACGATGTCTTTTTCCAAATTATAGCCTCTCTTAGCAACAAGCCCAAAGTATTTGAGATGAAGTTTTACCATCTTTTCCTCTAAGGAGCCCTCTGGCTTCACTGTCTCCAAGATATGTGTTTGTTATTTTGGAAGTCCATGGGATATACTCAGTTCTCTTCTCTAACATTACCACTCAAAGACATTGATTCTTCTCCTATCACTCTTATTCATTTTCCAGCTCTCAGACACAGAGCAGGAGATTGGAAAGACTGTGACTTGAATCAAGCACACCTTAGTCTTCTTTGAAAAGTAAAGCCTTCCATTTCTCAGTTTCAAATTTCATATATCTCCCCAGTGTTCAGCTTTCTAATCTGAACTACTTGAAAACTTTATAGTAGGTGCTTAGAATGATGGTCAATAAAATTATTAAACACTTATTATCTAAAATTATTTAAAAAAAGAAAGAAATTCTTTTTTTAAAGATGCATATATGAAGAGGAAGCATGTTCTATAATTATTAGAGTAGTGTAGAGTGTAGCACCTTAGCAAACATCTGAAAAATGGTGGGATTTTATAGGTGTGAGTAAGTTCTTTAGGCATGTTGCTGTATACTGTTGCGTTGAAACCAACTCATAGTTGACTCTCCAGCAGGTTTTCAGAAATAGTTAATCCCACAGAAGAAGATTGCTCATCTTTCTCACATGGAACAGCTGGCAGACTTGAGCCACATTCCTTTGGGATTGCAGAGCAGCTTCTTACCCTTAGACAACCAGAGCAGTAATATAAAGATGCAACGATTATAAAATCAACAATGAAAACAAACAGTGACAATGATTGGGTGAAGTTTGATGCCAAAAAACCCCTACAAGGTTAGAGAGCTAAATGAAGATCAGAATGTTAAGGATTTTATGAACAGTACCAAAGAGACTGGGTCCTAACCTAATTGTGCCATCAAAGCACTCTAAATGACACTGAAACGTTTGACACATCATACATACAAAAGGTAGGCAATTGAGACCCTTAAGTGAGAGAAAGATGTGGTAGTCTGACTCCACAAAGATATACAACCTTGGGAACTCTATGGGATAGTCCTACGCTGTCATCAAGGGTCACTGTGAGTCCATATTAACGTGGTGGCAATGAATTTCATCTTGGTTTATGCACTTGATTCAATAAATGTGAATGAGTACTCATTCTGTGATAGTCATTGTAAGATATTAAGATAAATGAAGGACTTCTACTTTTGTTAACTCATTAGCTAGTTCACCAAGGATATAAATCATTGTAACGTGGAACGTGTGAAGTGGTTTATTTCTTTAACAATTGTATGAGATACAGGATTATGGAACAATAATTATGGAAGTGTTATTGTTGTTGATGTTGTTAGGTGTCATTGAGTCACGTTCGGTTTAGGTGATCCTATGAACAGATTCTATTAACAGGTCTGAACCCTGTCTTATTCTGCACCAACCTCATCATCTCTGACACACTTGAACCTATTTGCTGCAGTCACTGTGTCAATTCACCTGCTTGAAGGTCTTACTTTCCCTCACCAAACCCTTACTTTTCCAAGGATGATGTCCTTGTCCAAGAAATATCTTCTCCCAACAACATGTCCACAGTATGCCAGAAGAAGCCTTGCCATCCTCGCCTCTAAGGAGCACTGTTGCTACACTTTCTCCAGGACATATCTGTTTGTTCTTTTTGGGAAATATCCAATACTCCTCTCCAAAACCACACTTAGAAGGTATCAGTTTTTCTTCTATAGAAGTTTAGCAGATATTCACAAGAAATGATAAAAATTCCCCTACTTGGGTAGGAAGAACAACCTTAAAATATATATGAAATATATGTAATTTATAACACTTATTATGCCTTGATAAGTGCTGCATAGAATTATGAATCAGAGGTTGGAGAAGAGTGTAGGGTAGGAAATAGAGGAGAATGCTATAGACACGAACGTTAAAACAAAGAGACAGTAAGAGACAAAAGAGAAAGAGAACGAAGAGATAGTAAGCGATTTCAACAAAGCACAGTGAGAAAGGGCTGAGACATGAGGTTCATCAAGCTATGTGAACAAACAAACATCCCCAAATCCAAAGCCACAGCTGGCTATCAAGTCCATTCCGACTCATAGAAGAACATCAAAGGGAATTTTCAAATCGCAGAAACACTCACATGAGATTCCTTTTGTCCAAAATTTCAAAATGACAGCAATTTAAAGAAAGGTTCATTTCATCTTTATGAAGGAGTAAAAAAGGAAGAGTATTGTGGTCTACAGTTCAGTCAGATCTGACTCCTAGTAAACCCTCCAGTGGGTTTTCCGAGTTACTTAATCATGGAGGAGGAGATTGTCCACCTTTCTCCCACAGAACAGCTGATGAATTTGAATCATCTGCCTTTGGATGGCAGCCCAACCCCTAACTACCAAGACACCAGACTTGTGTAAGTGTAATGGTATAAGCAGCATCTAGAAAGAAAGTGCGGACGGAATACTTCTTGGAGGCAATGATGGCAAAGCTTCATCTCCCGTGTTTTGAGCATGTTGCTAGGAGAGGCTATTCCTTGGAGAGGGACCTTCTACTTGGAAAAGTGGAATGGTGAGAGTGAGGCAGGTCTTCAACTAGATGGACTGACACAGTGACTGCAGCAATGAGCTCAAGCATGTCAGAGTTGATGAGGATGGCGAAGGATAGGGCAAGGTTCAGACCTGGTGTTCTTAAGGTTGCTTTGAGTTGTATTTGACTCTATGGTACTTAACAACAAGAAGATGTGGTGATGATGAATGCATTCATATATTCCTTCTGAGTTCAGCATCTATCAAGGCAGAAGAGGAATGCGATTGGTGGAAACCAAATGACCAGTTTTATTGTTGAAAAACCTACTTTGTTTCAGAAAAAAAAGTAGTTGAAGGACAGAGGGAACAAGGATGGCTATTCTGGTACATTTAATCAAAGGAATTTCCTTTCCCATCAAGTTAACCAGAAGAAAAATACAAAACCCTGCTTTCTAACATAATGGTGAGGACTTTGCAGTCGCTTTAATAGGTGGTGATAAGGAACAACTGAAGATTTTGTTTAGGAAGTATCAGGCCTGAATCCTTAGTAACATGTGGGCAGGAGAAAGGAATGTTAACTAGGCCAGTAGTGGGAAGACCAGCAGAATATCATTCAGGATATACCTGGAGACTAATGAGGGAACTGAATGACAGAATCGAAAGGAACAGATGGATACCAGAGATATAGAACATCTTGAAGCAACAGAAATAACGAGGGAAAAGAAGTACTTAGAAATCTGAAATTGTGAGTTTGGTTCACTTTATGAGATGATTGTTATTATTCTTAGTTGCTGTCTGTCAAATTAGTTCTGATTGATGATAACTTTACACAGAATAGAATAAAATGCTGCCCAAACTCACACCGTCTCCATGGTCTTTAACATATTGTTGTGTCTATTGTATCAATGAATCTCAAGGAGAATTGTCTCCATTTTTGCTAATCTTTATTATTATTATAATTAATTTTAATAAAATTTACAGAAACTTTGGATATCCATTAATTCATTGTTGCACTTTTCTCCCTGCCCTCCTCTTCCCCTCAGTTCTCGCTTCTCTTTGAAAAGTAAAAGAAAAATTCTTTCATTGTTATACAATCCCTCCCCCCAGGTCCACTCCACTATACAGCCTTCATTCTGGACTCCTGTCATGACAGACAATAATACCTAATCATATATCCCTTTTAAACAATTCTCTCCCTCATCTGTTTCAATGTAGTATACAGTATTTATCCCATCTTTTACCAAAAATGAATTCCTTTTCCAGGTATTTGTCTTTCTTGATTATACACCTAATGTATTTGAGCTAAAGTCTCATTACTTTTGCTTCTAAAGAACATTCAGTTGTAAGGGACACTAACATCAGAGAAATAAGGAATCATAAGTTGTGATGAATAAATTAATTATTAAGGAAATCACTTTTGGCATATGCAGTTTGTCCTCCAATTATAGAAAAAGCATTTAATTCAACTAGTGAACACTGAATACATTTAGAATGCCTCAGAAGAGTGCAAAAAAAAATTATTTGATGGATTTTTTTAAAAAATCAAAAGTCTTTAAGTTCTGGCATTTGGAGCCAAGACACATAATTTTGAAAAAGGAATAATTTAATATAAAATTTAGAATATAAATATTTTGTTCTTTTTTTATTTGCAAAAAATGAATTTTTATCATAGAGAAAAGGAGGGGGGAAAACACCTTATGGAATAGAGAAAAGAATCCACAGTTCAATCACTATCAGAGATTTCATTAGGTGCTGTCGAGATGAGTACAAGTCATAGCAACCCCATGTATTACAGATCTGAACCCTGTTCTATCCTGTGCCATCTTCACACTTCCTGACACATTAGAGCTTATTGTGGCCGTCACCATGTCAATCCACCTGGTCGAAGGGCTTCCTCTCCTTCATTAAGTTTCTACCCTTCCAAGCATCATGTCCCTCTCTAAGGAATAACCCTTCCTAGCAACCTTCCCGAAGTAGGTTAGGTGAAGCTTCCTCATTCTTGCCTCCAAAGAGCACTCTGGCTGCATCTTCTCCAAGACATATTTGTTTGTTCTTTTGGCCATCCACGGGGATGTTCAGTGCTCTTCTCCAACACCACAGCTCAAAGGCATCAATTCTCTTCCTGTCACCTCAGATGCATAGAGAGAAGAGCCTATGGCCTGAATCAGACCCACCTTGGTCCTCAAACTGATGTCATAACTTCTCAAAAATTTGGAGAGGTCCCTAACTGCAGACTTTGCCAGTGCAATACTCCAGAGATATCATGATATAACTTTGTGTAGGTGTAAACCTGTTAATAGATAAATATGTGGCTTAATAATTTACACAATTTTTAGTAAATACTCATTACTAGTATTACCAAGGGAAGCTCTACAAGCCCTCTGACAAAGAGAGTGATATATAATCCATGTTGAGAAGAAAGCAGCTTCATTTAGCAGTAATGCAAGATACTTGGTAGGTGAACAATGAGGAAAAAATTTTGAAAGAAGACGGAAGTCAAATGACCTATACAGTCTGTATCAATTTATTATCATTCAACTGAATAATTTCTTAGTTTCATATACATTTATGGAAGCTTTTTTTTTTTAAAAAAAAAAGTAAAGTTGTACGTCCTCTAAATTGCTGGGGTTAGATTCATGTCTAATGTGTCATGTAAGAAGTTGTTCATTGGGTTATTCCTGCCTTTCAGCTATATGGCTATGCAACAACCGCAGAAGGTTATGCTACTGAGAATATACTTCCCATCCTTGTAGTCATTGAAGATGATAATGATAATGCACCATACTTTGAAACCAAGTTAACAACGTTTAGTGTACCTGAAAATTGCAGAGCTGGTAAGTTCACTTCTAGATTATTTGACATTTGAGTCATATAATACCTAAGATTCTAGTATTAACGTTATTTTTAATTTTAGAGGGTTTTTCCTCATTTCTCTTTTAGAAATTAATGTTACAGGTTGTCACCTAAGGGTCTGAAATTGCCCTAAGAAAATTTTCTTGAACTTAGGCTTATTTATAAAGTACATTTCATATATTTTCTCCTTTAACATTATGCCTTTTATAATACTAGCACTAGTATTATAGTGCACACTCACCCAGAAGTACCTCAGAATTAAGGTCTGGTGTTATCTACACTTTTGAAAGGCCAAAAGACAGAAACTCGGTAGCAGGCAGTTCTGTTCTGTGTACATGAAGTAATTGTGAATTGAAATCAACCTGACAGCAGCTAATAACAACATTTAACACTTCTTGGTCTTATATGTTCACACCCTTTCCAGGGCAAACCTTTACACGCTGACTTTGCTGACACAGACTTAAAACCACACACTCAAGTGCTTGGCAATGAATCTGGAAAGTTCAATAGATAAATAGTCTCACAACTCACTTTATTTTTGCCATATGCATATGTGTAACAGAATTCATAGAGCAGGAAATAGTTTTAATCTTAATAAAGATATATTTTCAGGATCCAGAATGATATATTATCGTTTATCTGATTTATAGCAACATATAAATGGTTTTGCTTGGTATATCTTCAAAACAAACTGAAAAGAAGTTTTAAATTGGCTGGATAGGTTCAGCCTCGGTTGTGACAAGATTCATAACAACAATTAAAAGAAAATAACAGGAAACGTCTAATGACTTCTTCCACTCTGCTGCCATGTACATCTGTATGTATAATGTTGCTTTCCCCACAAATGTTTTCTTAAAATAACATTTTCAGAACCCTGATATATGGGATAGAAAGATTGTGTAAGGTGTAAGCAGATTGGTACATAATAACATTTGTAAAATTATCATATCGCTCTGTTACTTGCATATATTGGCAACACATTTATTGAAAAGAAAAGTATAACATTTTGGTTCTTATATGCAACTCCGTACTATTCCTCTAATTCATATTATCGAGTTGAGCTATAAAGGAAATAAGGTGTGCACAGATGAACTTATCAAAAAATAAACTTTGGCATAGGAAGAAAAAACAAGAACAAACTCATCACACATTTGTAAAGTACAAATAAAGTAACAAATAGATCGAATTTCAAGTTTGCAGCATGGAATGAAATGAAGAAAGGGCTCAGATCACATTTTAGAGAATATTTACCTATTCCTCAATTTATCTGTAAAACAGACTTTCTTACAGTCTTTGGCAAATATTTTATTTTTTACCTTTTTAATAAAATCCCACTAGATTAAAGTTTTTTTCAAGATTAAATTTCTCTAAACAGGAACATCAGTGGGACAAGTTACCGCCATAGATGATGATGAACCTGGCACCTTACATACTCGTCTGAGATATAAAATCTTACAACAAATCCCAGAACATCCAAGGCATTTCTCTATACATCCAGATACAGGTGTCATCACAGCACTTACATCTCTCCTGGACAGAGAAGTAATGCATTTATGAGCTTGTTTCCTCAGCCCCTAAATGATATTTAATCTAATAATTAATTCTCTGAATAGGTGACCATGTGGTCATTGTGACCTCTTCTTTACACATATTTCTGCACACCTTTGGTTTTTATTACTCTAGAGAATTCTTTTGTGCCTGTGGACATGTGTGGGAGGGTACAGTGGTGATTCTTGTCCTGATCTAACGTGTAAAGGCTAAACTTGCTTTAAGTTTTGAAATGTGTTAATAGATATATTGCCTTTCTATTGCACTGTCTATTCTCTTGTTCTGTATTTGTATTTATGTGTTTTTTCAAGATACATTTGAAAGACACTTGCAAAGTAATAAGAGGCTTCACAGTGTTAATGAGAACTTCAAGTTTTAGGAAACTGAAGTGTTTACCTTTTTTCCCAGGTCTGTGATACATACAAGATAATAATGGAAGTACGAGACATGGGGGGCCAACCTTTTGGCTTATTTAACACAGGAACTATCACTATTTCACTTTTGGATGAAAATGACAATTCACCAGTATTCACAGAAACTTCTGTGAGTATATTTTCCTGTTTGTTAGTTAGATTAATTTCATTTTTTTCTTTTTAGATCTAGGACTTGGTAGTTCAATGAAGTCATAAATTTTGGTGTGAATTTGTGCAGCTTACAAATAATATAGGAAAAAAATTATTTCTGTAAAAGCAATTGACCACGTGAGAGAGAAAACTGAGATTGAAATGTAAATTTTTGGAGTTCCAATTCCTATCTTCCTTCTACAAATTCATCTTATACCTCCAGCAGATTATCATTTACTACTTTTATTGGTTTTTTTTTTAATATTTTGCTGTAATCACACTCTTTAGGATAAGAATTGTTATTTAATATGTATTTTTAAATGTTGCCCTTATATTGATTGCTAGTTAATCAAAATGGAATTTTAAGACACTGCTGTAATGAATTAATTACCCAGGATTGTAAAAACTCAATGTATACTATATTACAATATCTATAAAAATCTATAAATATTTATCTATATATTAGTATGATATTTACTAAATATTTGCTATATCTAACAAGAGATAAGAGAGTAAGTATTTCAGGGCAAGTATTTTGCTTTAAAGTAGAGATTAATCTGAGGGTTGGGAAAATTGTCTCAAAAACCACAAGTAAATCATCCATTATGCATGTAAATTCTTTTCAAAAAAGTTTATGCACATTTCCATATACTTTTTATTTAAATACAAATTTTTACAAAGTCACATTGTTAGAACTATACATTTATAATAACTGGAGGCTATTTTTTCAGTATTATGCAGAGGTAGAAGAAAACAGAATTGATGTTGAGATTTTACGAATGTCGGTACGTGACAACGATTTGCCCAACACACCCCACTCGAAGGCTGTGTACATGATTATACAGGGAAATGAAAATGGAAACTTCAAAATTTCCACCGATCCAAATACAAATGAAGCAGTCTTGTGTGTTGTCAAGGTAAACAAATGAAATAATGTAGTAATTTGGGTTTTTTGTATGAGTTAAGGTTGGATGTCAGTATGCTTGTGCATGGCCACAGTAATACAAAACAAAGCAGAGCTGAAATGTTTGATATAGGTTTACATGAGTTTTTTCCTGTTATTTTACTCTCATATCTGCTCTCAAGTTAAAGACAGAGCAGGTATAAACTCCACTATTCCATAAAAGTATATGAGGAACACACAATATAGGGAAATGGAGGAATCACTTTTTTAAACACAATTTTACGTAATGGTACCCCTCTCCAAATTTAATGTTTTTTAGAGTCTTGGTGGCACAACGATCAAACACTTACAGTTAATCACAAAGGTCCACAGTTTAGGCCTAACAGCTGCTCCTCTGTAGAAGGATGTAGCTGTCTGCATCCACAACGACTTGCTGCCTTTGAAATCACCAGGGCCAGTCCTGCTCTGTCCTGAAGTCTTGCCAGGAGCTGGAGCTACTCATAGTGGATAGAATGGCTTTTATAAGACAAACCACATATTTAATATTCAACAGCTATCCCATCCACTGATCTAAGTGTCAGGAAGTCAACACTTAAGGACTTTGAAAAATTAGTATTGTATTTATTTAATCACAATTCTTGGCCCCTGGATTGCTTAACAGCACAGATTTCTTTTTTGAACCCTATATTTCTTAAGTTATTTCATGTCTTCCCATAATTTCTTTTTTCAAGATGACTATTTTAGAAGCTTTAGGCAAAAAGGACATCTTCCTGGGATGATTTTTAGACATTCTTTAATTATTGTACTGCCATTTATCGACTGAGCTTTTCCATTTTTGCTTCTCTTTTTTGTTATTGTGATAGATTTAGCCTGGCCTATTCTAAAAGTTGCTTAGAGTTTCTTTCTAAATATTCCATTTAGGGCTGAGTGTCTTCATTAGGCACTTAAGCAGACCCAAATATTTTGAGAAGTTTTATAGGTGTTTCTAAATAATTGTCATTATATCTGTTGACTCAAGATACCCGAGACCTGTTTTTTTATGACTAACTCTCAGTTTCCAGTGATCTAATTATTTACATGTTTAGCTTGGAGGAACTTTTGCTATTTTAACTAAATCTGGTATTTCACAACTTAATTAATAATATTATGAAGAACAATAAGTATCCTATTTGAATTCATAATGCTTGCTTGAAAGTTCTATAAATATTTATAATTCTATGAATATTTAGGGAGCTCTAGTAGCCTAGTGGGTAGAGTGTTGCACTGCCAATCTAAAGACAGGTGGTTTGAATCCACCAGCTGGCTGCTCCTCAGGGAGAAGGTTGGGCCATCTCTTTACGATTTCCGGCCTCCTGTGAGTGGTTCTGACTCTGCAGTACACAACATCAGCATTAATATTTAGGGCAAGATGGCCTATGGGGTAAAGAAGTGAACTGACAATCCAAAGATAGGTACCTTGAATCCATGAGCTGCTTTGCTGGGAGAAAGATAGGCAGTCTCCTCCTTGTGATTTGCAGCTTCTGAAAACTCACTGGAGGGTCAACTATGAGTTGGTTTGAACTCAGTGACAATAGGTTGAGGTTTTTAGTTGATGAATATTTAAGCTTATAAAAATAAGAATGAGAAGAAAAAATGATGAAATATTAAAATTGACAGCTTATCCTTTCATGTGGTTGTTGTGACAGAAACCTCCTTATTTGTCAACTACATTAGTCTCAACATTGGGTAGCATTTTATACACAAAAATAATTTCCCCTTAGGCTAAAAGTTTTGATTATAATCTAATGTCTCCTCTATATGCTATTGTTGACTATAGATTGATTTATTATCTCTGAAAACCTGCCGGAGGGTCAGCATTGGGTTGGTTCAGACTAGACGGTACCCAACAACACCACCACCAATTCTAATGAAGATATATTGTTTTAACAGCCATTGAACTATGAACACAGCCGCCAAGTTACTTTGCAAATCGGTGTGCTTAATGAAGCACAATTCTCTAAAGCATCAAACTCCCAAGCTCCTACTATGTGCACTACAACTGTCACTGTTAAAATCAAAGACAGTGACGAGGGCCCGGAATGCCAGCCGCCGGTCAAGGTTATTCAGAGTAAAGATAACCTCGCAGCGGGCACCGAGCTCTTTGGCTACAAAGCAGTGGACCCAGACACACGCAGCAGTGAAGGCTTAAGGTAACGTACGTCCCCAAAAGTCCCTGATTTTTTTCCATTGGCGTGCAAATTTATTTCACATTTGCAAAGGGCTACATATTTTTCAAAATGACAATTTTTTAAAAAAAATATTATATCCCTTGGCTAGATCTCAGCTTTACCATCTATTTGTTTCCTAAACATCAAGGTATACGAAGGTCGGAGATGAAGATAACTGGTTTGAAATTAATGAACTAACCGGCGACTTGAAAACGCTGAAAGTACTCGACAGAGAATCCAAGTTCGTAAAAAATGACCAATACAATATTTCCGTGATCGCGAGGGATGCAAGTGAGTGCCCTGTGTTAGAAATAAAGTATAAAGACAACATGTGATTGTTTTATCATTCACATGCATTTATTTTACATTTCTTAATGTGTTTGCTTACAAAGTTTATATACATTGTGTTTCACACTGTTCTTCATTCACATTGTGTTTCATACAATCATACTCATACATTATATTTTATAAAATCAATCATCATTGGACCTTGCCCATCACTACCCTTTTCCTCCCAGATCCTTCCCATTTGTTTCCCTCCCTCCACCCATTAAATTGTGGTTACACACCCTACTTATCCTCACCTCTCTCATCTTCCCTCCCCCCTTGAGTTCGTGTACATGTTTTACTAGTTATAATTCTATTTTTCACAATAATGGTCTTATGCAGTATGTTGATGGAATTTTATTATGAGATATTAAGTAGAATTGGATTGTGGGGTAAACCCTCCCTGGCTGGGTCTCTGCATTGAGTTGCCATCCTCTCCTCTGTTTCTACCACCAATCCCCCTCTTTCTAAGATGTCTAGAGTGATGTCTCTTCTCTCACCTTCCACACAACATATGTTTTTACCAAACCTTCTCATTTCTTGATCACAACTAAATTCCAGCTATGTTTGAAGTATGATTGCCCAATTTTTTGAAGAGCACTTAATTTAGGCTCCAGTGCCGCAGTGAGCACAAACTCTGTCAAAGCCGAAATTGAAGTATCGAAAACCCTCCAACTTCATCTACGCTATGGAATCAGAGACACACTTAAAGATCTTTCATTTTTAAAGGAGTACAGATTTTAATTATGGTTTGAATTTGCTTAAAGGGGTTAGTCCATGCCAGGTCATTGGGTTCAAAGTAGGTTTATTTTTATCCTTCCTTCCTTCCTTCCTTTCTTCCTTTTTTGTATTCACACTCATGTTCTGTTTATTTCAGTGTTGTTCACAATGGCAAAGAGATGGAAGCAACTCACATGCCCAACAACAAACAAATGGATAGAAAAGCCATAGCACATTCACACAATGGAATATTATGCAGCACTGAAAAACAATGAACTAATAAAGCATTACATAACACAGGGAAGCCTAGAGGACATTATGTTGAGTGAATATCTCAGTCACAAAGCAAACACTACGTAACACCACTGTTTTAAAATTGGACATATAGGAGTGAGACGAGCAGAGAATGGGAAAAGGGTGCATAGATAATGATCACTGCAGTAGGTCAGATGAGGGGGAAAGCTGTCTGAAAGGAATATATGAATAGACACTATTTGTATGACAACAAGCTGGAACAAGGTGTGCTTTGCTGGGTGGGCTGGGGGAGGGGATAGGAGACAGGAAGAAGAAAACATGTAACAATAAAAGAAAAAAATAATAAATTTTTTAAGATGTCAAATGCAACAGAATATTTATCCTGGTCTCTAAAGAAATGATCAAGCTATTGCTATACTTTGCAATTCTTGTACAAGTAAATTCAGAAACTTAGGTGTAAAGAAATTATTACGAATGTTTCATATTAAGTAATAATCACACTTGTTTTTAGCATAGCTTTTTTGGCTACGTTTTATTCATCTTTTAAAACATTTTATAGTAGTTTGCTTATAAGTTCATATACATTGTGCTTAGAAACACTATTCTTTATTCCTATTGTTTCATACAATCATTTCCATGTATTATGTTTTATAAAATTAATCACCGTTGGACCTTGCCCACCATTACTCTTTTTTAGGTCCCTGCCTCCCTCTACCCATCAAATTGGGCAACCCTGTAGTTTCGCCCCTCTCCATCCTCTTACCCCTTTGTTCCAAAACCCTTTTGAGCATTACAGACCTCTCTGCAAACCAAATTTAAATATGTTTGTTGGTATATTTATATATACACACTATTATACTAGTGTGTTAAATACATAATAAAAATGACCCAAAATATATATTATTAAAAGAATATAAAAGTAGCTATATTCTTTCATTGCATTATCAGACATTTGGAGAAAATTCTCATGAATTATAAAGATGGATTCATTTAAGTGGATTAGCCTGTCCTATTGATTACCTGCCCAATCAAAAAGTTTCCACTAATCCACTGTTCAAAATAAATGCATATGCTGATAAACCAATGGTATAGCATTTTTCTACATCTTTGACTTTCTTTAGAAGAAATGGGTGAAAAAATACATAAGAAATCTCATTAAATTATCACAAATGATAGTAAGCAATGAAAACTTCATATTTATTCACTGCTTGATAATCTGATAAAAATGTTTTCTCACACATTGCAAACCAACTGTTTTTCTATAGCTTTTTAAACCAGAGCTACATCTAGAAAAAGTTGCTTCTCTGAGAAGAGAGACAAAGGATAAAATTAATGGAGGTGTTAGGACTTACAATTTATGCAAGAAAGGCAAACTAACTCAAACACTTATCTATCTTACTAAGGTTTTTCTTCTCCACTCAGCTCTGATCCATCCCTGTAGCCTTTAGGATGAGAATTAGTGTATTGCAAAACTTAATCAGAGCTTGTTAGGGTGGTGGTGCAAGACAGGGCAAGGTCCAGACCGATTGTTGATAGGGTCAATATGATTTATAGTTCACTTGATAGCACTGATAATCACTGAGACAATCTATCCATTTTAAAGAAATGTTCCTATTGATAATTAAAAGTCCAACATTTTTTCCAGAAGAAAGACTACATGTAAATATCAATACTTATTCATGTGTATATGATTTCCTTTCCCTCTTGATACCTCTCACGTACTTTTAATTATAGTTCTTTAAATATAAGTGTGTGTGTATGTGTGAACATAAAAAATGGAGAAAATATTACCTGAGAAATGCCGTTCATTTTGTCACTACTGTCCAAGTCTAGGTAATTTGTAGCTCTTTTAACAGTTCAAGTAAATATGAATGAGCTTAGTAACAAAATTGTATTGACAAACAGATATATGTTCACTTGTTCCATAAATATTGATTGCCTATTAAATTTCTAGTACTCGGAAAAATAACCATGAAAACTAGGATTCATGAGACAAGGCCAAATTCCCTCATGACATCTGTTGAATTATTATCATATTAATATCATTACTTAGCTTGTTGTATTAAAGGATATTATAAGTTGATAAGAGGTTGTAATGATGTGAAAACTTTTCTACTCCATAAAATAAGGTGTGGATATCAACACAAGTGAGGGTTACTTTGTTGCTGCCCAGAATAAATTTTAAATGGGAGGGGAATTTCACAGACATGCAGGCTTGATGAAAGAAAAACTATTCAAAGAGAAGGAAAACATAGAGAACAAAAACATAACATATTCTTTCTGTCTTTTTGGCACTGCAAGACCATATAATTACAATGATCACAATAAAAGGAAATAAAAATCAGAGTTTGATCTTTATGAATTTGTGTCCTAAGGTTGTGGGTAGCCAGTGTACTCAAGGAGAAATAAAGATAAAGACATTAAGTACTTTAATGGAAGACTATAAAATGACATGAAACGTGCTTATGTGAAACTGAATCTATCAATTTATGTGTACCCAACAGCAAAATTCCCAAGTAGTAACTAATTTTTTGCATAGATATTTAGTTTTGAGGGTCATAAATATCTCTGCATAATTATCTAGGCATTCTTCTAGCTCTCTCATTATCTCATAAATTTCTTTATGCCTGTTGTTCCTGTTATACAGTTAGGGTGGTTTCCTTTCTGTCACTTTAGAAAGCATAGTCTTCTACCCTCTCCATCTAGAGAAGATTTGCACTTCCTGTTTAAAATTCAGGTCTATCAAATTCTTCAAATTAATCACAATCACAATTATTGTGCTTGTGTCCACTTATGCTTGAGTTTTTTAGTATTGATTTGGTATGTGGTTTTTTTAGTATTATTTGTAAATATTCTTCTGTGACATTACTTAAAATTTCTTACTTTTTTAGTGTAAAACAAGTTTTCTGACCTGGTCCCTAGACTTTAAGGAAGAATGAGATGTCTTTATTTTGTTCTTGTAGCAATGTTACAGAATATGTGTGTGTGTGTGTGAGAGAGAGAGAGAGAGAGAGAGAGAGAGAGATAACCCAAGTCCCAGAATTTATGTGTCCGTTATGCATTTTAGGAATTGATGAAGTCAGAATTTTAATCGAATTAATAGCCATTTTGTTCTTCTAGGTGGTAGGTCTTGCACTGGAACATTAGTAGTTCTTTTAGAAGATGAAAATGATCACCCACCAGAGATCAAAAAAGAGTTGACAATTTGTCGCCATGACAAAGAGTTTGCTGTTCTGGAACCTGTGGATCTAGATGGGCCTGACAATGGTGCACCCTTTCAGTTCACTTTGGACAACTCTGCCAGCAGATTATGGACTATTGAAGCAAAGGATGGTACGTACTTATGCTCAGTGCTATAGCTGGTAGGAAGGCAAGATGATGAATGGTTTTGCCTTTCATCTTGGTTTATCAAAATAAATATTCATTGGAAGAAATCATTCCAATCTTCCTAAATCTTAAGATAAACAAAAATAATATTTTTATAGCAATGATCCTATTTCTCTTAAATTGAGATCTTTGTTTTTCCAGTTATCTTTCAAGACAATATGTCAATCTATTTTGACAATATATATAATAACATAGTGAAAAAGAACAGCAAAGGGAATAAAGAGATAGCAACATTTTTCCCCCCTAAGAAATCAATTCCATTTTTAAGACAGAAAAAATGAGCCAAAGTATTTTAAGTCTGTTTTGCAGGAAGTGCAACCAAGGTGATCCTTAGAAGCAAGGGTGGTAAAACTTTGCCTCACGGATTTTGGGCGTGTTGTTGGGAAAGGGTATTCTTGGGAGAATATATGATGATATGAAAGTAAAGGCTCAATGAAGCAATTGTGAGCATCAATAAGATGGATTGACATAGTGACTGAAAAATCGGCAGGGATTGTGAGGGCGCAAGAAAGGGCAAGGTTCAATCTGTTGTCCAAAGCATTGCTAGGAGCCAGAGTGAACTTGATGGCACCTAAGGAACAAATTATTGGTTTTATTTTTCACTCTTAAAATACAAAGTAGAAAGAATATTACTATTGAAAGGTCATATCAATATACATTCTTTCTGTCTTGTTTCTCCTTAGGTAAAACTGCCATTCTTCGTGAACGGACCCCTCTTGATTACAACTATTATTCTGTGCCAATCCAAATAAAAGACAGACATGGCTTAGCTGCAAAGCAAGTGCTGTCGGTGAGAGTATGTGACTGCACGACCCCGTCTGATTGTAGGATGAATGTGATAGATGTAAGAGACGCGGAGATGTCCAATGTCATCCTCGGGAAATGGGCTATTCTTGCCATGGTGTTGGGATCGGCATTGCTGTTGTGTAAGTATAGTTAGCTGTAATATGTAGCTGAAGATTTAGCTAGTCCTTTAGATAGATAGAACAGTTATTTGTCTCAACAGCATTTACAGCCTTTGATAAATATTTGTCATAAAAATATATCTTCTACCTATGATATAACTTGGATTTGGGAATTACAGAAGAAGAAAAACAGCAGGAAGAGTCAGTTAAATGTAAATGGCAGAAGTAGTCGTAGCTTCCATTATTCAAATAGTTAGCTGTAAGATGTTAGAAAAATATATTCCTCTTCTTTGAGTGCATTTTTTTTTCTGTATACAAGATGAAAAAGGTGGACAAGATAGCTAAGATTAACAACCACATAAAGTCGACTTTATTTTACCTCATAAAGTCTACTTCCAGCTGCCATGTGTCTGTAGGGATTCACAGAAAAGAAACAATAAAAACTAAGAATTTCAAAATTTGCTTAAATGTGTAGGGTCAACATTATTAATGAGCACTCTCAGAAAAAAGTGATTTTGCATACACCTTAAAAATACTCCAGTGAGTGGCAAATGGTTGGATGGTGAACTACTGAAAAATCAATGCACACAAATGTAAATACAACTGTGGACTGCAGTTTGTGTTCATAGATGCAAAAGGAACGAAAAACATGGCTAAAGTTTTAACAGTTTATTTGATTACACAGAACTCATTTGAATTTACAACCATTTTTATAGACTTTAAAACCAAAAGTTAGTGCTGTGGAGTTGACTCTGACTCATGACCACCCTTCGCCAAGTTTTGGAGCCTCTGAATCTTAAGAGGAGCACACGACCTCATCCTTCTCCTGAGGAAGTCTGTAGATTCTGGTCTTTACTGTTTCCCGATTCAATGATTTAAGAGTCAAGTATGAACTGGATGCTCCCCACAGCACTGTATTTAGAGATGCACACTTTTGAAATCAGATGGTGGTTTATAGAATCCCTTTTCTTCAGTGCATTTATGACTAATGTTCTTGATTTTGTAGTTCTCAGTTTGTTAGAATGTGTTTTGCATTTTTAGCATCAGGAATTCCAACTTTTTATTGAGAAGTAGAGACTTACAATATGGTATTGAAAGTAGGAGGGATTGGGTTATTTGACAGCTTAAATTTCTGACAGATACAATTATTATTTCAATGTGAAAGAAATAACAGAAACATGTATGTATTCATTCTTGACCTGTAATGGGAACTTATTAAGAAACTGTACTCACTTCACCTTTTTATTTCATACTATTTTTTCTTATATTATCTAATGACAATCTTATAGAAATTATGTATTAATACATTTGTTTGATTTCTATTTTCAAGTTTACTACTAAAATTTATCTCAATGTACTAAAATTCTTTTTAAAGATATATGAAGAAGCTTTATAAAACCATATAATTAAAATTATTTCATCTATACTAGCAAGAAAAAAATTTTTTTCTATTTTTAGGTATTCTGTTTACATGTTTCTGTGTTACTACTGCGAAGAAGACAGTGAAAAAATGTTTCCCAGAAGATGTGGCCCAACAGAATTTAATTGTATCAAATACCGAAGGACCTGGAGAAGAAGTGATGGTAAATGAAATTTTACTTTCCTTTAGACTGTATGGTGATTTAATGATGATTGTTTGGTTTTAGCATCATCACCATCATCCTCCTAGCTCTAATGGTGTTGTACACAGGGAGCTGCCGGCTTAATCTCTCTGGTGAATAAATCTACCAGCAGCTCTGTGGGGAAAGCACAATCTTTTCTTGGGTGATTCGCAGCCTTGGAGTCTCAGTGGAGGGTCAGTTCTGAGTTGGGTCCATCTTGATAGTGATGAGAATTTAGAATGGTCATTGAGCATTTCCCCTACCAAGCAGACCGCCAACTGCTTTCTCGGTGCTACTTAAACTTCCTCATCCTGTGAGGAGGACACTCTTGTTATCTACGTGTATGGGAAACTAGGAGACTTACTAGCTAAATAATTTGCATCTGATGTGGAAAATGAAAGCATAGTCTTCCAAGTTGATTCATTGTTTTAAAACCACTGACTCTTTTTCAGGAGGCAAATATTCGACTCCCTACTCAAACTTCCAACATTTGTAACACGAGCCTTAGTGGTCAAGGAATCAAGACGCAGCAAAGTTTTGAAATGGTTAAGGGAGGCTACACTCTGGAGTCTAACAAAGGAGGTGGACACCAGACCTTGGAGTCCAACAAGGGAGCAGGACAGGGTGTAACGGACACTGGCAGATACGCGTATTCAGACTGGCACAGCTTCACCCAACCTCGTCTTGGTGAAGTAAGTTCCAACTTTTTCATTGTCTGTCTAGTAAAGCCGAATATTATTTAAAAATCAGGGTTTCCCAGTTTTACTACTTGAGTGAAGAATTCATCACCTTCTTTCTGTCAAAATATCAAAGATGTGGATGCCACATCCAAACTCAATGACAAATGGTTCCATAAAGTTCAATTTTTAAAATCAAGTTTACAAATTATCCAAAAGCAGCAAGTTCAGACGTTATAAAAGAAGATTTTTTTAAGAACATTTCCCTCCCCCGCCCCCCAAATAACCAAGAAAATCATGCAGAGTGAAATTTTGTTTGGGTTTTCCCATTTATTATTATACTTCTTGAGTCCTCTGTGTGATTATAAAGTTTGACTATCAAAATCAACCAACTAGACTTAAGATAAATTTTGAGTTTTAGTTCTATCATTTTGATTTATGATTAGATTAATCAATATGGATTGGCATAGGCTAGATATAGATATTGTTTTCTCAAATACTGAAAATGCTTCCGAAGTAAACTTCACTTATGCAAAAAGGCTTATGTCCAAAAGGGATATCCTGAGTTAGTTATGTGATCTATATACTGCTTTAACGTTCATGAATCTGTTCACTAGGAGCGTATATTTATTTGCTATATATTACGAATGAATGTAATACAGACCAATCATGTGCATTTTTTATATGTAGGAATCCATTAGAGGACACACTCTGGGTAAAAATTAAACAGTAAAAGGTAAATCAAAGACATTCTTTTTATGCTAATCCGTTTAGGTGTGTTTTTTTTTAAAAAGCAATAATAAAATGTGCTCTATTTTTGATACAGAAGGTGTATCTCTGTGGCCAAGCGGAGGAACACAAGCATTCGGAAGACTACATTCGTTCATATAACTACGAAGGGAAGGGGTCCCTGGCTGGCTCTGTAGGCTGCTGTAGCGACCGACAGGAAGAAGAGGGCCTTGAGTTTCTCGATCATCTGGAACCCAAATTCAGGACACTAGCAAAGACATGTGTAAAGCAGTAAATGCATTTTTTAGGAGAGTGACGTCTGTAAGTGGAAATGGGGGAGTTAATGGAATCAAAATGATGGCAGCATCTGTTAACGTTAAGCTTAACGTTAAGCTCAGAGGCAAACTTGGAGTCAGGTAAAGCTCGTATACAGAGGAGGCTCCCTTAAAGGTTCTTTGTCTAATACAACTTAAGTGTTTTCCAGAAATAGAAGTTTCTTGTGTTAATTTTCTTTTACTTTTGTGTGTATATATTTCCCTTTTCAGGGCCGTACTGTTTTCTTGTACTTGCTGTTTGAAAACTTCTGCTTTCGCAACTATTCCAAAGCTATTCCTTGTACTTGAAAACCTGTTCCTATGTTTACTGTGGAAGAGTAAGGTGGGAAGAGCTGGGTACTGTGGAGCTTGATGTAAAGCGAATTTTCATTTCAGATGTGCAAATAAGATGTTTCTTCCAAGCCTTGGGGAAAATTATTTCTTAGGGGCCAGAGAATTTGCTTCTTCTCAATTGGGGTCTGAACTGAAGGATTTTTAAATATTCTTAGAGGTAGTTTGTGATTTGGCTAATAAAAGTTACTTTCTCACTACTTTTTCACCCTGTGGAAGATTCCCAGGATGGATTTCTTTCCCCTTCAGAGCTCAGTGCTTGTATCTCTGCCATTGTGAGTAAAATAATTTATTTTGGTAATTCAATTTCTATTGTCTCATGTACACAATAGTGTCCAATAAAAATGGTACTCTTTGAGATATATGAAATTACAATGTTATTATAGACTTGGAAATACTTCCTAATATCACAGTAAGTTATATTTTTTTAGTTTACGTGCAGAATGGCTGTCTGAGCAATTAGAAGGTATCATTAGCCCAAAATTAAGTGATATATGTTTCTTTGTAACTTTATATTTCTCTTATACTTGTTTAAAGTGTAGAAGAGAGAATTTATAGGTGAACATAAAATACCATTAATTAGCAAAGATAGATTTCTCAGTCAAGCATTAAAAGGATTTTTGGAAAGTGTATTAATTTTTACTAAGCAGGTTTGGCTATTTAAAATGCTCTTAAAAATATCTTTAAACTGTATTTCCTAAGAGACCTAAAACTGTCTTTTGACTTACTGAGCAATTTAAAATCATTTTCTACTTAGGTGAGAAATAAAATGTTAATATTATGATTCATTAAATTGTTAAATTTATATCAAGCTGTTTATACGTTTTATTTTTATAATAATCATATGTATTAAATGATTTCATGTAAATCAATTACCAGTTAACCATTCATAAGTTAATTACTATGATTTTTCTTCTGTACTTAAAACTATGGTCAAAAGAAAAAAGTTAATTTTTTTATCTTGATTCAGGCAACAAATTAATGTGAAAAATTTTATGGGATCATCAAGAGAAATCTGACACAATTATTGTAAACTTCTCCCTCAAATGTTTCTTTAAGCCTCCTGTGCTTTTAAATTTCATAATAAATTTATTAAACGTGTTTTGTAAAACTTGATAACTGGTAGTTTACTTGTAGATTATGACACATAGTATGTTATATAAAGTATGTTTAAAAATAAGTAGAGGAGTATTTTTATTATCACAGTAAAGCTAGAAAACCCTTCCTTTCATTCATAGATTATTAGTTATTAAAATCCTGTTCTACTGAAAAATTTAAATGAAATTATTCAGACAGAGCAACTCCTGCCTCTTTCTAATCTCTTTTATCTGTTTTTCCAATAAATCTGAAGCAATACTAGAATTGGCCATACTCAGAATTTGCCTTTTTATTTATGTAGAAAAAAAAAATAGCAAATGCCAGCATTACTTAGATGGGCCCTTGCATATTTCGTGTCATTGTTGTCAGAGCCATTGAGTCAATATGACTCTCAGTGACCCTGTGAAAAGCAGATCTCAACCTTTTTCTGCAACATCTTCAGATCTCTGAATTTATGCTTGGATTTATTGTTATAGTCACTGTGTCAATGTGTCTTTTTGGCAGTCGTCCTTCTATTCTCTGACCTGCTACCTTTCCCAACATAATGTCATCTTCTTTCTGAGAAGACGTTTCACCATCCTCACATCCTAAGGAGCACCGGTTGTACTTCCTCCACGACAGACCTGATTATTCTTTGCTAGTCCATGAGATACACCGAATTCTTCACCATCACCAAAAGTCAAGGGCATTGATTCTTTGGTTATCATAGGGCTCAAGGAAGTGAAATAAACATATTCTTAAAAACTCTTGAAAGATCAGTGTTGTACAAAAATGTAAGAACCAAGCTTAAATGAGTTCACATCCTTGTAACCAACTATGAAACAGTGATTGCAAAAATTATCCAGACTACTCTTAAGTATACCAAAAAAAAGTATCAAAAGTGTGCTAAATTTAATCATAAGGTAAAATTTTTTTGAAGATAAATTAATTTAAAAGTAGATCATTTGGGAAGCTGGACTTTATGCACAGGAATGTGGCATCAGGGTTGGAGGAAGACTCATCTACAACCTGCGTTATGCCTGTGATACAACCTTGCTTGCTGCAACTGAACAGGACATGAGATGTTTGTTGCAGAAGGTTAAGAACTATAGTCTACAACATGGACTGAAGTTCAACATCAAGAAAACAAAGATTCTCACCACTAGGCCTATTAGGAGCTTCATGATGGACGGAAAAGAGATTGAGATCGTTGGTAACTTCAGTTTTCTTAGTTCCACAATCAACACACTTGGCACCAGCAGTCAGGAAATCAAAAGGCAAATTGCATTTGAGATGTCTGCTGTCAGGGACCTTTCTAGAGTTCTGAAGAGCAACGATGTCAATCTGGAGAATGGTGTAACTGATCCAGGCCATTTTCTTTACAATTACTTGCTATGAATCTGAGAACTAGACAGTAGTTAAGGATGATAAAGGAAAGATCGATGCCTTTGAGTTGTGGTGCCAGCGAAAACTGTTGAACATACCGTGGACTGCAAAGAGAACAAACAGATCAGTCCTGGAGAAAGGGAAAACATTTTGCTCCATGGAGGCAAGGATTTTGAGGCTTTGTCTCACATACCTTCGGCACATGGCCAGGAGACCAGTCCTTGGAAAAGGACATCATGCTTGGAAGGGTGGAGAGACAGCCCAGGAGAGGAAGACCCAGGATGAAATGGAGTGACTCAGTGATTGGAGAAATGGGCTTAGGTCTGTTGGAGACAACGAGATTGACGGAGGATAGGGCAGCTTTCAGAGCTAAATTACAAAGGGTCACTATGAGTCACAGGCAACTCGATGGCACACAACAAGAACAACTTCTTAATGTCTTTATTCAATAAACAAAAATGACCTTTACTAAAATCAAGCTGCAGAGTTTGCTTCATTTATTTGCTATTCCACATTTATTTATTATTCAAATTATTTGCTTCATAACTTTAGAGAACAAAGATTAAAAACACACATGATCTTTCATTGATTTGAATTTTGTCTGAGAATATAGAGGATTTCAAATTAAAATACTTTAAAATTTAGTCTCTCATGTACAACTGCTAATATAGTTATGGAGTTTTTACTTGTCCATGTTTAAAATAGTTTAAGTAATATAAAATGGAAACATGAACATTGAAAAAAATTTCGAGACTTTTTCCCTAAGGTGTGTAATTTTACTTGGGCTATGCAAACAAAGTTCTTAACTATATACAGAAAGGGTGAGGGTTCAAACTAACTCAGAGACGCCAAAGAAGACAGATTTGAAAATGTGTTTCTGAAACGTCACAATCTATTCTGTACTTACAGGGTCACTAGGAACTGTAATCTCTTCTGTAGCAACTCATTAACAACAGAGCTATGTTCTGTCTGCTAAACTATAAGAAAGGCAAAGTGGTTGAATCTTGGTTAGAACATCCTGCTGCTAATAGAAGTACTGGCAGTTCAAACCCAACAGCTGCTCCATGAGAGAAAAAAGTGGCAGTCTGCCTCAAAAAGTGGTAGCCTTGGAAACTGTAGAGGTAGTAATACCCTTTTCTATCAGACACTAGAAGTCAGAATCAATATAAGAATAATAGTTATTAATCAACTAGATGTAGATGGTTATTTTACTAATCTCCAACTAAGAAAATTAATTAAGGCCCCAGGAATAAATGGTATACCAATTGACATATTTCAGCTAACAGATGCTGCCCTGGATGTGCTCACCAAGTTGTGCCAAGAAATCTGGAGAACAACCGCTT